TTTTTGTTTTCTTTTTGTCTTCATTTATATCCTATTCATCTTCTGGCACTTATGACACTGTAGTAATATCTGTTCTTCTTTTCATGGACAACAAACACGTGATCTGTGACAAGGATGTGTTGTTTTATTTAGTTTTGTACAAACATGATAAATCATTGACCTTTTTACTGTGTGACCTTTAACCTTAGAGGTTTCGTGGTCTTAGGTCGAACAGCTACATTCTTAGAGAACCGTCATCAAGAACACACGCCTACTAAGCAGATACATACATTTTGAGAATGTTTATATGATAGATCATTGTATCGATGCAAATTCCAATATTCAAGAATGATATTCAACTTGAAAATGGCGACATCTTCAAACTTACAATTGTCTTATTCTTTCAATTTACGATAAGGTTGGTAAAAAAAATAGTACAGATCAGACAAAGAAAAAATAGAATTAACAATCACAACCAAGTAAGTTCGCTAAACTCGCCGTGGTCGTCAGAAAAAATAATAAAAAATCAGATAATATTAGCGTTTACCACATTAGTCGCCTCACTTGGCTAGCTATTTCGTCCCATCAGGTAACAGAAGTTATTTTGATATTAAAATAAACCTTACGAACCAAATTTATTAAAAAAAAAAAAAAAAAAAAAAAAAAAAAAAAAAAAATTTCTCACATTGGTCGCCTCTCAATGAAAGCCGTTCGCCCATTCGGAAAACGGACTGAACCGTGAGGTTCGTCGTTTTAGACAACATATATGTACCGATTTAAAAATTAGGTACTATATTACTTTCGACCAAACGGAAGTCCTCCCTCAATGGCACCATTCTGATGCCAGAAAACACCTTACAGACAATTGTTTGCAAAAATTGGACAATATCTAGATTTCGACCAATTTGAAGCGTCTCCTCGGCAGCAATTTTGTTTTTAATTTTGTTTCGTTGAAGTTATAAAATGCCATGATGTAGATGCTTTTTTTACAAAGTTTCCTTAAATCCCAACAAGGGGAATAAAAGTTATTGAGCGAAAACATTTCTAAAATTCACTGTACAGAAATTGGCCACCATTGTGAATTTTGACAAAAGCAATAAAACAAAATTCAGCCAACATTTCAAGAGACTTACAATAAACAGTCAGATCCATTAAAACTAGGGCGAAATGTTTACAATAGAAAGACTTACACGGAACTCCTGAAAAAACCTAAATAAGACCATGTGTTCCGGAAGAGTAAGCGTTTTCCGCTCTATCGACGACACCCGACATGTAAACTTTGGTCAATTCAAGTAAGCAATGTAGCATTCCAAAATGAGGACAATAACGGAGCCAACAGGCAAACTAACGAGCATCAAACACGTCAAACTTCATATCGTGCAAATAATTTTTAGAAAATTCAATGAGATCACTACAACAATCCCGTAATATTTTCATCAATCTGCATTTTGGGAAACCCTGTCTGATAGTTGCTGACATCTTGCAAAAATCGTGATATTGGGAACAATTCATTGAATATAGAATTAACTGCGACATGTAAAAACAATAGTTGGGGACGCAGAGGTGTTGCTATCCAGAAATGGAAAATTTTCATTATAGGGAAATTTAAATCATCATGTTTATCATTCAGCTTGGTTGAAAGCTGTCCATGTTGGCTTCGTTTGTTGGAAAAGATCGAGATAAGCTAAGTCTGTTGTGTCCTTGATTTCCAATTCTGGTGAGTATATATGACTGACGTGGTCAATAAATCCCTTGTTATTTAAGAAATGTCATTTGTAAATATGCATCATGGTTGTTGGATAAAGTGGAGAAAATGTCGGAAACCTTTTGCTGAAGAAGGAAAAAGAAAGAATTATAAGATATCGAGTAAAAAGTATCACTTCGTTTGGGGGACTTAAATTTGTCCAGTTACCATTATAGTATAACATAGGCGTGGTTTTATTGCTTTGACTTAAATACCAACCGCAGATTTTAAACACGACACGTATTTGGTCTGACTGTTCGTCCGATGTTCGGACAGGCTAACAAGATAATGTAAAAAATGACAATTTAGAAATTTCCTTTTACAATTTTTTTTTTTGAGATATAATTTGGTTATATGACCTATCAGAAGAAGTGCAGGATGTAAAATCGTGTTATTTCTTCTAATATACAAAGGATGTCTAGTAAACGACATGGTTGGGTTGTGCGCTGGTAATTCCGGAAATCCGGTAAATGTTCTATAAAAATGTGCCATACCAGAGAGTACTAGTAGATTATAATTGTTTTTGTAGACTCAAGGTCGTGACCTCTGTAGTCAAGGTTATAAATGGCCACAAAGGAAAGACTGACTCAAATATAAACAGAAAAATCTTGTCATAACATTGTAATGTTGCTTCTATAAATGATTTTCATTCTCCGTGAACGTGATGAAATAACATTTACAAAATTAACAATATAACTTACAACAAACAAACAAACAAACAAACAAACAAACATCGTCAAATTGGATAAATCACACGTAAAGGCACTATCTAGGTCAACAAAAATGTGATCACGCATCTGCTCTCATGCCATTTTCGTGATTTTCGTTTTAAAAAGGCGCATAAATCTAGAGAACGTCATTATGACGTCATACATGTACCACAGCAAATGCAGCATCCCCCCTTAACATTAAGGAATGTGTAAGTTTATTTTATTGCAAATGAAAATCTAATCGTCCCGGGACCTTTACTCTATGAACGATATTTGTAGAATTTGACAAAATTGTTGATATATGTACATCAGAAACACCATTCCGAAATTCTCGGACATTATTGTATCTGTCTATAGTCAAAACACAGTGACACAGCATCGGGTATCCTCTGGTGACATCCAAGTCAAACAGATAAATCTTATCTAATCCTGGTAGAACTTTAATCGTTTAAAATATGACTAGAGTATTTATCAAACTTTCAGTTACTAAATGTGGTTTGACTTTACCTACGTTTATCAAAAGTGGTTAACTTTAACTATCGGTACAGTTTAACTTTAGGTATCAAAACTGATTAAAATTAATTTTAGCCAATCAATAAGGGTTTCATGTAATATCAGTCGCTTAATTGGAGGTTATCACTAGTCAAAATCATCTAGCACTTGTCGCTTGATTAATTACTATATTGTTTGACTACTTACTAGTTATATAATTTATGTGACCAATGACTACCTACATAATCTATCCTTTGTTGTGTAACTAATCACAGTTTAAATAATTTATCTCTTGTCGTGTGACGCACTACTAGCTAATTATTCTGTCATTTGTTGTATGGCTAATTACTGGTTAAATAATATATCACTTGTGTGGTTAACTACTAGTTAAGTTATCTATCAGTTGTGTGACTAATGACTAGTTAAGTAATCTATTAGTTCTGTGACAAATTACTAATTAAATGATATATCACTTGTGTGACTATTTACTAGTTAAATAATTTATCACTTGTGTGACTAACTAGTTAAATAATTTATCACTTGTGTGACTATTTACTAGTTAAATAATTTATCACTTGTGTGACTATTTACTAGTTAAATAATATATCACTTGTGTGGTTAACTACTAGTTAAGTTATCTATCAGTTGTGTGACTAATGACTAGTTAAGTAATTTATCACTTGTGTGACTATTTACTAGTTAAATAATTTATCACTTGTGTGACTATTTACTAGTTAAATAATTTATCACTTGTGTGACTATTAACTAGTTAAATAATTTATCACTTGTGTGACTATTTACTAGTTAAATAATTTATCACTTGTGTGACTATTTACTAGTTAAATAATTCACCACTTGTTGAGTGGCTATTTACTAGTTAAATAAATTACCACTTGTGTGTTAATTACTGGTTAAGTAATCATTTGTTTGACTTATCATTCGTTAATCTTTCGCTTGTTGTCTGACTATTTACTAGAAAAATGATTTATCTCACGTTGTGTGACTTATTATTCGTTAAATAATTGACCACTTGTGTGACTATTTTGCTAGTTTAGAAATCTTTCATTTGTCATTTGACTTTTTGTGGCAAAATTTTTAATCCTGTAGTCTTGGCGGTAATGGAAGTACCACGTGGACAAAACCAGTGGGTTAATGATGAAAACCTGAATTCAGAACATCATTAAATATTGGAGCTTACACTTCACGATGAAGCTCGACACATGAAAGTTATACAATCAAAAACATAATTTCGAATTCCCATGATTCTATTGGATGAAAAGATCACGTGATAAGCTTAATAAAATTTCAAATGTGGTGGAGTAATGCTGATTTCAAATTGAGGCTGATGCAATAAGTTATTATTCGTTTAGCAAAACATCAGGCAAAAATAAAATACATTGTATATTCTATAATACTACTGAGGGGGGAAAACTGCAATGATACAATATTATTTGATGATGTAGGTGAAGGACATGTACCGAATCAAACATGATTGCGCTAATTTTTTCAAATCAACATTTTTTTAAAACACATATTCAAACATCATGTTTTTCTTGTAACGGTGTAGAAATATCTAGTAAAGTTAATATTTAAATGTTCATGCCATTGGCATGATATTGTAACTAAAATGAAAAAGTGTGTGATGACGTCACACAAATCTGACGTCATACTGGAGTGTCTGGCCCATCAAGCAATCTCCAGTAAAACAAGCCTCGATAAGTTCTCAAAAAAGATTTCTAAAATATCAGTTTTGAAATAAAATCCTGTTTCAATGGTTACCGACGATACATAAAAATAGACCGTCCAATCTATTTCATCAATCCTAAGACTTTTGTCGTTGTCTTCAAAATTACCCACAATCACCGGTTTTAATGACGTCATTGTAATTTTCACCGGTAACTCCATAGTACAGTGTAGAAAAATACTTGGTTAGCGTGAACTTCAAACACTCATTAACGGTGTCTTGTTTCATTTTCATGACTATTACCCTATTTTTTGTGGCAGTAGTAAAACACACATTCCAACATGAACCTACATAGTCACTTCTTGTTTGAACTATTACGATTCCTACCTAGTCACGTGGCCTCTGTCACTATTGTCCGCGTGAAAGATTGATTGTTTAAACTTATCTTTTCAAAATATTTCATCCGTGACGTCCTCTTCAGATACATATCAATAAATCTTTGACGGAACTGCTGACTCATGATACAGTACAAAACAAAATTGATTGCGTTATTTACAAGTGCAATGAAATCCATCAAATCACCAAGAGGCATATATACGTTGTGGTAGAAGCCGGATACTAAAGCACTTGCAAGAATCAGAATTCCTTGTGGGAATTCCGTCACCAAAAATAGAATCATCACAACAAGTAACATACGGGTAGTTTTACTCTGACGTACTTCCCGTTTACAGTTGGAGTTTGTTGAGGAAAGTCTTCGCCTTCGCTTCTTGCCTTTAATTCCAACACTGTAAAGCAACGAACCACCGAATATTACCATAAGTGCGCATGGCACAAGTTTGGCCAGAATGGCGTAAGAAATAACATTGGCGAACACAATAGGCTCTGTTTCGTTGGTGGCGAGTTTTAGGTCTCGGAGGCCGTACAAACTCGTATTGCCGTAGTCCACACGTTCAATCTTGTTTGTGAGGTAGTTAGGTACCATTGCTAAAGTTGACGCAATGTAAACCAATATCGTTACAGCCTTCACTTGCTGTATACTACGTTGTTTGGCTTGGGGTCCCCGCAAGGGTGACCGCATCTGCATAAACCGGAAGACAGAAAGCGACACTCCAAGCCAGATTGAGATTGTATGTGTAGTGGCAGCTAGGTTAACAGATATCAACATAAAGGTGGCCCAACCTTCAGTGTATTTCTCGGGTGACACCTCAGCTGGATCGTGGATACAGTAAAAGTGGATAGCAAAAGGCATATAGGGCATCATTGTAAGGATGTCGGAGAACGCCAATCCGCAAAGGAACAGGTTTGTAGCAGTTCGCATGTCTCGTCGTGTTAGGATCGTGATATTGAAAACATTTGTACAAATACCAAAGGCACACACTATGATTGAGGCATATCCGTGTACACCGGAAAACCACTGCTGAAAGGCGAGCAAGAAGGAGGTAGCCTCAGGGTTATCCATGCTTGGCCCTGGGGCTTCACTGGTTACATTTGGTGTCTCCATCTTTACAGATTTCTTTTAGACATTTCCTTCAATAAGCGGATTTGCCTGAAAATAGAGAACAGACGGTATATTATGCAGTTATCTTTAAAAAGATCTTTCATTTAAATTTATCACCAAATTATTGAACATATCAACAGCGGCACGCAATTATATCGATTCAATTTCAGTATTTACTCAGAAATCTATGAAAGTTCTGGAAAAACTGACATGTCATCGAAAGTTTCCCATTCAGGCAATTTAAATGAGCCCAGATGTGATTGCGTACGACTTTGTGATAAACTCATCGGCTCACTGTCAGAAATCGTATTATGGAAATGGATTTGCCAAGCATTGATTGCATGCTAACAGCTAATTTTGAAATAGTGATAGTTTAACTAGCCCAACCTTCGTTTGCCATTATCGTAAAATGAAACCTTTTCAATTGTACAATGTAATCTGCTGCAGAGGACTGCCAGATGGGACCAATTGCGCATGCGTCGGATCTAAATATCCAGGAACATTACGACATGTTCTCCACTAGAGAGCTTACCATTCGTTTCATGTTTTCATCGTTTGTCTCACTGTCACACACATTAAGTTTCTCATGTTTGAAGAGAACAATATTTTATTGAAATATACATTAGTTGTATGTACACTTGTTTTGAAGTTGATTTTAACACCGGATGTTATTCCACATACTCCCTGACATATGACGTCATTTTATGACCATCGCCTGTCTATTGTCCGCTTCTGTGACAGATAAATGTCCACACAAAGTGACATCTACCGGTAATTAAGTTTCAAAACATATACAAGCAACGCCGAATAAGTCAAATTACTATCGATGACTTCCGGTCAACGATACCCTTAAGTCAGATACATCCATTTATATAACTGATCAGTATACAGGTCACACTGGAAATCTTCACATTTTATGTCAAGCACATGACCACGTACATTTGTCTATACAGACGAGACATGAATGCTCTAACATCCCTCACGATGAAACGTATTCCCCACGGCAATACTACTGCCACGTATCCAGTTTCCGAAAGATTTTTCCTTTTTATGACAGATGCTATTATTTTATTAATGGTTTATCCGTTGTTTAAGAAACTTAAACACGAACATTCGGACTCTTAACTACAGACTTTCGGCAGTGTTCACAGCAAACAAAAATGACGTGGACTGGCAAATTCTTTATCACATGACAAATGACGTGAGAGGTTTTTTTTTCATCCGATTACTTACGTAAACTTTGTACGTTTCGGAAATAACACACGATATGTTATGTAAGATTTCCATGACACAGAAGGAGAAAAACAACTTACTGGTAAAACTGTATTAAATAAGACTGTTTTGAACGTGCGATATCTATTTATATCAAAAAACCAACCGAGAAAATAGATAGCAGTTCGACTTTCCCCACAACAATGCTGTTTCTTCCTGCAGAGAGTTCGCCGAAGGGAGATAACCTGATAAGATTCTACACTTTTGAAGAATGTTTTGCATGTGTAATGCATTATGTGTGTACTTTAAGCGAAGATATCGACCATATCTGACATTTACCATTTATTTTAATATCAAAATCTGCTTTCTTATATGAACGTGTTTATAACACCCCACAGCGCATGTCCAAACATTCCGGAAACGGCTCAGTAGAGCGTTTAAATACGTTACCAAACCTTATAATATAACATACAGAGAGCTCGCCATATTTTTTTTCAGTGAGATATTTCGCAGTAGATGATAGAAATTTTTCTTCCAAATTAAACGTGAAAATGAGAAAACTATTTAGAAGGTAATGTTGAATACGCCCCTACCCGGTAAAGCATATATCTTCACATTACGGTGATATTCATTTCTCAAGCGTGCCCCTGCCTCTATATCGCACACTGTGAGCATATCGTATACATTGTAAATTGTATAAATACAAACTTGATAAAGACATTTCTGAGACACAAAAAATATGTGTTTCGACAAATTTACATATATAATGAACCTAACAAAAAATAACACTGTATCAAAAACTGTAAAATAATTTTTGAGAAAATTGGATTGTGAGACAACGCCATCTTGTGTGATAACAAGAGTAAGGATAAGACAAAGGAGTCCAATCACTTTCCACAGAAACTGGAATTACCGGTTAATAGTGTTCATCAAGACAATCTCGAACACAAAATACATTTCGTGTTTTATTTCCATATAATCGTGTTCAATTTGCATAGATATAAATCAAACCAACCCATCATACGTTCGACTTATGCAATATCGGACACCCCTTTCAAATGTTTACCATAACTGTACAATACAGTTTTAAACCCTTCATTTACTGGAAAATTTCTCAATATTTTCTAACACATGATTTACAAAATCAATTTACACTTTTAAACATCTTTATACAATTTGAAAACAACGTGATTCCGATTCCATTAGGCCCGGATGACTGTGCGCTGACTGATAAATTAACTTGGATTTCGGGCTGTAAAGCCAATGCGGGAGATTGAATGATAATGATTATTTGAATGTAAATCAATTGGACACATTTGGTATGATGAATGATGTGACATACAGTGCAATTCACGTGCCATGGACGTGCATTAACGCCACGTGACTTTCCTGACTTTATCTATTCCATTTACTTAATTTATAGAGCCACTACGCTTATTCAACGCCGCCAGTACATTACATATGATATCAAACGTACGGCGTTGTTTGGCATTGAGTTTTTAGCATTAAATTAATGTCGTTGAAGGGCATAAGAATAAATATATCGAAATAAGAATGGCACGGAAGTCAATTTAATTGATTGCAAAGTTTACATCGATTCTAACAGGCCGCACATTAACGTTACACGAACACAATGAAATTTATTAGACAATAAACAATCATTGTCTTGATGGTGGACTGATACTAGGCAGGTACGAACATCAAGTCCCGCATCCGACATACCTAGTAATGGCGCATTATGAATCACATGAATAAAGTAATATTTCGAAAACGCTGTATCCGGAAAAGGAGATAAGCGAGACAGACGATAGTGTATTTTCAATAAAGTCACGTGACCGGGCACACTGACAAGATACACAGGTACCTGTATACTTGTACAGCGACTCAATACATGTTTTGTGTAGAACCATCGACTAATATGAAATGAATCCAGAAAAAAATTTTATGAACAAAATCTTAATCCAAATTCATAATCGATGAAACGAGGCTAGCGAAAGAAAGATGAATATTCATACGGAAACCCTTATAATAGTACAAGGAGAAAAAGACCAGGTGTTGCGGAATGATAAGCGTCCAAGAGGTCTACCAACAAACATCAAACACGTCAAATTCAATCTCTAGTAAGAAAAACAGAGTATGGTCCAATGAAATCATGTCGACAACCGTAACACTTAGCCTTCATCAACTTGCATCTGTACGCTTGAATGTTTTACTCTGAGGTGCTCTCTCTCCCCCTCCCCTTCCCCACCCCCACCCTTCTTCTCTCTTTCTCTCTCCCTCCCTCTCTCTCTTTTCCCCTCCCTCCCTCTCCCTCATTCCCCAAATTCTGCAATAACAGATATGTAACTTAAGTCATTTGTGAAATAACTGTCGATGGAATTTGCTGTGAAATTAAGTAAACAAGAATTAATCTAATTATTCCTACTTTTTAACCAACGGTATAACGAGCCTGGATTCTCATTACCACAGAGAAGAAACGACTGCGTTGTTGTAAACAATGCGGTTTACCTGGTGTGGGTAATATCCCCAGTTAATATATTAGCTAGCAAGTCAGGACTTGTTTATAGTTGTAGTTAGAAGTTTCAACTTTACATCAGTGACTTATATTCACAATTTACAGACTTCATTCATTGTAATCACGGATAATGCACAGAGAATCAAGTTTTATTCCATATATTAATTTATTTGCTTCATAAATTGATTTTCCTTCAAGACTCTTTAATATTTTAAACAGCTTTAAACATAAATGTTTTCCAATTGTAAAACGGATTATGAGGTTTTGGAATTTGGAACATTCTCTATATCAGAAGGATGATCAAAACGTTTTACGTATCGCAACAATTATACATTGCCCACTGTCTCAGAAAGTGCGACAGGGAAAGGCTGAGAAACGTCATTTTTATGTTTACACAAACACAGAAATAAGACCATGAAACTCCGAACGAAATCGGAAAAGTCAAAAACTCTAATCAAGGTTCTCAAGGTCACATATGAAGTTCAATATGTAAGAAAGTCTTATATTAAGGACGGAAAGCTCTTTGCTATTCTGATAAAAGACTTGCGGGCAAATTTCTCATAGATGAATCCAATTTAGGAAAAATACAACGTATTATCACGGATAACAGACTTGTAAAGATGATGCCAGGAATTATTATTCCAGGTTAAGTCGATCTTGTATCTGTTTTGGAAAATTTTGTGATTTTTGTGTGCATTTAAAAAAATAATCTTTGTATATTTGAATACGATGAAAATATAAGTGATATTTTCACTGAGAGAAATATCAAGTTTTAGTGTTTCACTCATGTTTGACAAATCGGCATTCGCAGTGAAGATATCAGCGTGTATTGCGCACTTGTGGATCTCTGATATAGAAAACCATATGAAATGGGTAGAAGTCTCGCCTCACGTTAGGCGTTGATACTAGTCAATGTGAGTTTTCATCATTACAGTGTTTGATTGTGTTTTATTACATTTTCGCCGGTGAAATATAGATAAATATCTCATAATCTAGTGAAAATAACAGTTTTTGTTATTTTTCACTAGTGAAAACTTACACCAATGGAAAGTGGGCATACAAAATATCTTATAAAACTGACCAATCATAAAGCCCAGTACAAAACAAAAAACCCCACAAAACCAGGCATCTGAAGGGATTGTTTACTTATGACACAACCACCAATTCCATGGAAAATCAGCAAACAATACAACACAAATTATCTTATCAGACATCAAATCCAATTCCTAACCAAATGTCTTGAATATGGATCTAACACGTTAGACATCTCAAGAGA